TGTCACATCATCGACCAGCTTGGGCACACACACCACATGTTGACACATGGCCCACCTTGATTTGGCAGCACCCGCCGACTCTTCACACGGGTCCCATCTCCTCTTCAGTATGGGTTTCAGGTAGTCTGACGTCGGTGCAACTCGATCTTTGCCTGCACTGGCGTATAGCTCGTCTTATACTTTGGACCATCACGTCATCAGTTGACTCGTCCGGCGCGACATTCGGGCTGTATTCCATTCGGGTTGCACGTGATATCTCCATTCGGGACACACTCCCGCCATTCAGGACGTCCTGCGGCCAGGGACCCTGGGGCGCCAATTTGCCTCAAACGTAAGTCCCTCAATCTCTAGTGGTCCGTCCGAAAGTATCTGTCATCTTTTCGGGCCCCTCCACGCTTCGCCTTCCTGGAACAACGGTGTTCGGTCACGCGGCTCGGGTGACCGGAAATTGGGATTTACGTTCACGGAGCATTCTCCGTTCACCACCCAAAGAGAATGTCATCATGTTCCATATTCCAAGTTCCGGCTCTCAAGTCAGGGCAGCAGCGGAGGCCACCTGAATTTCAGGTTGCATCGTCACATCCGCCGTAAGGTGTAGAGGTGACGACAATGCATCGACTCCGGGAGTCGATGCGAGAAGCTATGTGGATGGTTGCAATCATCCAGCACTGAAGCTTGCGTGCTGTCATGCAGCCGGGCTGCACGAAGCAGGGCGCGATCACGCCGGGCTTGATGACGCGTGCCCGTGGGTACAAGAACCCGCCGGCGATCGCCCGCAGACTGGAATGTCTGCCGGTGGTATCAACAAACATTCATCCATGGCCGGGCCTGGATGAAACGCAAGTGAATCCGGGATTCACAAGAAGAAACAACGGCGCAAGCACAAGCGCTGCGCAAGTCTTGGTCCGGGACCGAGACTCTTCAAGGTATGCCTGCCGGGCAGACACAAGAGCCGACAGTGGCTGTCGAGACGTTGAACGTCTTGACGCTGCCTGTGCTGGGTACCAGTAAAAGAAGATGGAGTTGGAGAACCTTCCGAGTGATACGTCGGAATTAACCTCGCTTCCAGTAATGAGCTGGAAGCGCTTCGCAAGGGACCTGTACGATGGACGCATCGAACAGCTATGCATTCTTTCGGACCGCGAAAGAATGTCAAGCAAAGCAGAGGCGTCGAGACAACTCTTCGCTGGAAGCGCCACAGAGAGTGAAGATACTCTCAGTGCCAAGACGAAGAAGGAGCACTTCGAGGAGCAGAGTTGGGACTCACTGAAGTTGAGTCCCTATTACGAGATTCTGCGAGAGCACCGAGACGTGCTCCTGGACGAGATCCGTGCGAGGCTTCCGCAGGACAAGGGAATACAGCACGAGATTGATTTCGTGCCGGGGGCGAAGTATTGCGTGACGCGGCAGTGGCCACTGCCGCGGGAGCAAGTGAAGGCAATCGATGACTTCTTCGAAAGTCGTCGCAAGGCAGGACAAGTGCGGGAATCAAGGTCCCCGCACAGCGCACCAACGTTCTGTGTCAAGAAGCCACATGGTGGTTGGCGCATCGTTCATGCGTACAATAAGCTGAGCGATGCGACGATACCGGCACAGACGCCGATACCTCGAAAAGATGTCATCATCGATTCGATGTCCAAAAGCACCATCTACAGTGCTCTTGATATGAGAGACGGGTTCTATCAGATCCTGGTGCGTGAGAGCAATATCCCTCTCCTTGCGGTAAGCACCCCAAGCGGTATGCTTTGGGAGTGGCTAGTTATGCCGTAAGGACTGAAGAATGCCCCTGCGACCTTCAATAGATGCGTCACGCATCTATTGCGCTCCGTGAGCGACATCGTACTGAGCTACTTCGACGATGTGTACGTTCACAGCCGGGCTGTAAACCAGAAGACGGACGTCGAGATGCACAAGGAGCATCTCCGGGAACTGCTTGGGATCATGCACAAGCACAAGCTCTATGCGAACCTGAAGAAGTGCATCTTCGGTGCGAGCGAGATACCCGTGCTAGGGTGTCTCATTGGGAAGAATGGCGTACGCCCTGACCCCGAGAAGGTCAGAGTGATCAATGAACGGCCTACGCCATCCAACGTGAAGGAACTGCGGCAGTTTCTTGGCCTTGCCACATACTTGTGCAAGTACGTGGACAACTACGCAGGCAAGATTCGCCCGCTGTCGCAGCTTCTAAAGACGGTAGCTGCGTGGAAATGAACTGCGAGTGTCAGCAGGCGTTCGATGCGGCCAAGCTGGGCTTGACTGAAGCACCGATCTTGGCTGTGGCTGACCAAGAAAGTCCCTTTCACGTAGTGTGTGATGCATCCGATTTTGTGAACGGATGTGCGTTAATGCTACTCGCCGTGATCGAGTCGTCTACTACCAGTCGCGTCAGCTAAAGCCAGTTGAGCGAAACTATCCGGTACATGACAAGGAACTCCTTGCCATGAAGTATGCACTCGCGAAGTTCCGAGTGTACTTACTCGGCAACACGCCGTTCGTAGTCTATGCGGACCACGCGTCGTTGCGGACGGCTGTAAAGTCTCCGCACATCTCGCAACGAATGGCGAGATGGTTGTCCTTCTTCGCGGATTACAACTTCCGGATCGAGTACAAACACGGAAGGTTGAATTCCGTCGCGGACGCGTTGTCGCGATGACCGGATTATGCTGTCAAGACAGTCGACGTCGACAGGATTGACGTCGCTCGCACATATACACCGTCGTCGTCCTTGTTGGACGAGGTGAAGGCCGCGTTTGCGCTTGACGCAGACGCGAAGAAGCTGATCGAGCTTCTCTCAGCTCCTTCCGACAAAGCACCTCGGAAGTTGGCCCTCGTCTACGAGCGAATGCACACCGGTATCGTGTGCACGACGGTCTACTGTTTTACAGCGCTGTAGACGACAATGCGGACCGCATTGTCGTGCCGAATGATCCTGACCTGCGCAACAGGATCATGTACGAGTATCACGATGTCCCCACGGCAGGACATCCGGGACGTGAGAAGACGTATTCTCTTCTTTCGAGAGACTTCAACTGGACACACAAGTGCAAGTGTGTGCGCAAGTACGTACGTACTTGCGACATTTGCCAGCGAGTGAAGCCTGCACCTCACTCGCAGGCTCCTCTGCAACCACTACCGACTCCGTCGAAGTGTTGGGAGTCCGTTTCGATGGACTTCGTGTTTGGTCTTCCGCGCGATTCTAGGCGGAAGACTGGTATTGTGGTCTTTGTTGACCGCTTCAGCAAGATGGTGCATCTCGCTGCTGTCGCAGCGGATGTGA